AATGGCGGCCTTCAGTGCAGCTATGGTACTATGATGATGTCGATTAATATCCCTTTCAACAATGCTCCACAAGTAATAGTCCATAGGATTTAAATCTGGTGAGTTAGGGGCCCACATATTGGGGGTCACTTGATCGTAAAAATTCTCTGATAACCAATCCTGGTTTACAATGGCTTTGTGAGAAGGTGCAGAGTCTTGTTAAAAGACATATGGCCTTCCATTAAATACTTTATTTATCCAGGGCTTAACAACCGCTTTAAGAACATTAATGTATCCAGTAGCATTAACCATAAGACCTTGTGGGAAAATGTAATGTGGCATGGCATGAGCTTCACTGTTCACAGCCCCTAAAACCATCATAGTAGCCGGATATTTGGTGTGCGTCACCCTGGGTGCTTCAGAAGGAGATGCACATAGCCACCTGACATTCCGTCTGTTTGTTTTCTGATTTTGATGAAAGTTTTATTCGTCAGAGAAAAACCAAATCATGCCATGTTCGTGGGGAATTTTCACTTTGTTCAGCAACCGTTTTGAACGCATGTGACGGTTTTCCTGTGTTTTCGCCGATATGAATTGGCCTTTCCTCATTACATATGACTTATATCGAATGCCCTGATGTACCACGGTTCTGACAGTCCACTCTGATACCTGGAGTTTTTTGGTGATGGACTTCATTGATCTTCCGGGGTTCTCATCCATGATGTTTTGAACATTCCGTATAAATCTTGGTTTTCTCACGGTATCAGAGCGCTGTGAATATTTTTTTCGTTTTGCTAGAGGGAAACATTGCCATCACATCCCTGTAACTCCAACCAAACCTTATGAACAATTGACCTGGAAACATGTAAAAAGTTAGTGATTTTTTAAATCACTATGTTTTGCAGCTCAAGCAACAATGATTCCATGTCTTTTTATTTCTTGGGTTAACATCTTCCTCTGACTGGGTTATCTGAAATAAAAAAAAAACAAAAAAACAATAATATTATAAATAATTTGAATATGTAGTGAACTTAAAACAATATGTCCTCAAATAGCACTCTAACGCTGTATATATTATATATCAACCCCTCAAAAACGAAGATATGTTAGGGTGTTGGAAAAATTCAATAAAAAATAATTAAACCTTCCTTGTCGGTCATTATCGATGAAAGATATTTGAAAGAATTCCCAAATATACATATATATATATATTATATATATATATATATATATATATATATATATATATATATATATATATATACATTTGTGTGTGTATGTGTGTGAGTGTTTGTGCGTATATATATATATATATATATATACACACACACACACACACACACACACATATATATATATATATATGATTTTCCAAGCGTAGCTAAAATGTGGCACAAGACCGAAGAAGTGTGCACCCAATGCCTTGTGCCACATCTAAGCTACGCTTGAAAAATCGCTATACATATACATACATACATATATACATATATATATATATAAATGGACTTTCTCTTCGTTTTCGACATAGCTCTCTTCTTAGAACGGAACAACCAGGCGACCGACACGTATGTGATTATTTGAAAGCTTGTGCAAAAAAAATAAATAAAAAATAATAAAAAAAACAAAACTGGAGCACATACTTTTAGATACAGAGTGGTCCTTCGTGATGCATTATTAGGGTTAAGGATCAGCCTACAAATTCTAAAAAAAAAAATGGCCACTACTTCTGCCGTCTGCTTTAATTTTTTTTTAACTCTCTTTTGAACGTATCAACGAAATGCTCAGTTTCACCATTTGATCTTGGGTGGCATGACGGCGATGTTAAACGTTCAACTGTATAGTATTTGAAAACATGATGAAAATCGCTCGATATAATTAGCTTGCCAGTATCAATCACTGTTGTATCTGCAACTACAAATCTCGATAACAGTTCACGAAGAAAATTTATAGTTACAGTTGAATTAGATTTTCCCTGATAACAACAATCTCCCAGATTTTAAATGCAACGTCACTCATTTGTCTTCTTGAATCCCGTTCATATTTTATTCTTTCCTCAATTCTCCCTACACTCACTCTTTCCTCTCACTTTCACTTTTTGTAAACCTAAAGACTTAACCAAATTTTGAAAGTCCTGGTCCATTTTAGGACAATATACGTAACATCTCACAAGAGATTTTATTCTTAACATTCAGGAATGTTCAACATGAAACTGCTTCAAAATATTTTTTGCAAAGAATTAGGAATTACAATTCTTTCAGTGTACACCAGTACTTCGGTAGAGATGGACTTATTATTTTCAGTAACACCTGGTTTATTTTTTTCTTTCCTTTTCTCTATCTACAATATTTGTCTCGAAATAAAAAAAAAATAAATAAAAATAAAATCTCGGTATAAAAAATATGTAACAACACGGTAATTTTCTCTGATAGAATTTTGGGGGATCAGAATAATTATTATAGTAATTCATCGAGTCTAGAAGAAAACTCAACAGAATGCAGAAAGCACTGGACGGCTGTTTCGTCGTATTTGGGACTCATCAGCATGGAATCGAACATGGACCGTTACGATACAACGCAAGCGTCACACCACTGGACCAACGGGCCTCGGTGATGAAGAACAAACTGACTAGACTCGATATAGCGCAGCTACTCACAAATTCGCTGGTGATACTCATCCAAGTATTCAAACACAAGAGCAAGGTCTTCCTTCCCCTTAGCAGCTCCATCGCAGAGCATTAGCTGGGTCAAGCAAGGATATACAAGTGATAGGATTTTGGAGGATTAAAATAATCATTATAGTAGTTCATCGAGTCTAGAAAAATCCTCAACAAAATGCAGAAAGCATTGTTTTGTTCTATTTGCGACTCATCAGCAGTGCGCATCCACTATCAAGAATCGAATCCGAACCGTTAAAATACAACGCAAGCGTTATACCACTGGACCAGGGGCGACGAAGAAGAAACTGGCTAGACTCGATATAGCGATGCTACAGACAAATTTCCGTGGTGATACCTATCCTAGTATTCAATCCCAAAGTGTTGTGACCCAAGAACAACGTCTTTCTTCCCCTTAGCCGCTCCATCGCAGAGCATGAGCTGGGTCAAGCAAGGATATACAAGTGATAGAATTTTGGGAGATTAAAAAAAAAACGTAGGACAGCATTCTTCTTTCTCAAAGGATCCTATTCAACCAACACATCGTCAGAAGTTGGTATATGCTATTAATTGACCAAGAACGCACAATTCGCACTGCGAGAAAATATAAGAAGAAGAAAAAGCAACTATGACTAAAATACAAATTCATTAATACAACTCATTAAACGAGAGGGAAATGCTAATATATATATATATATATATATATATATATATATATATATATATATATATATATATATATGTATATATGTATGTATGTGTGTGTGTGTGTATGTGTGTATGTGTGCGTGTGTGTCCCTGTATGTGTGTGTATCTATACGAAATGGTTATAAAATATTTCTATATAAATGAATACTTCCTTTTATTTTAGTTGCTATATGTGTGTGTGTGTGTGTGTGTGTGTGTGTGTGTTTGTGTTTATATGTTCTCGCGTCCATGTGTTTGTGTGTGTTGACGTCAGAATATTTACACAAGTCATCCTGTTAAATTTATTTCCAGTCGGCCATATTGTGAAGAAAATATACGCCGACGGCCATGTTGGATTTAACTCTTCCCGGCCGATTCATTCAGAAAAAGGGCCCGGCCAATGTTTCTTCTCAACCTTCCATGTCTCCCACGGAGCATACCCCTAATAACCTTCTTTTGGACTAAGGTTATGTTCTCGATACGGAAGAAATAAACAGAGGCAATTGGAAACATGTAGTTTCTTCCACGAAACCCTCGGGGCATTTGAGCAGCGAATATAACAGTTAAATGTGTATGGCCGCCATGATCTCTTTCTTATATAAGAGTGAATCGCACGAGGAAACAGCATTCTTCTCTGCAAGAAGCAAAGAGGCGTTGAAGACTTTGCAGAATCTGGTCTTGATACCCAGGAAATTGTTTCTCCTTGCCAGATGCAATATTTTAGCTGCGGGGTCATTTTCGATCACAGTCCGGCCTTTAACACAACTATTTACAACTACAGGAATTTATTTACCTTTACTAATTCTCATCGTAGTCATTGTCCATTTTATTTTTATTTTTTCTTTCTTTTTAGTTGACTCTTCCATCTTGTTTCCATGATTAATTTCTATCATTTTCTTTCTTTCTTTCTTTCTTTCTTTCTTTCTTTCTTTCTTTCTTTCTTTCTTTCTTATGCTTTCCGTTTTTTCTTTTTCATGTATTTCTTCTTTCTTTTTTCGACACTTCCCCTCCTTTTCCATTATTAATTTTTTTCATTTTTTCTTTTAACTCTTCGTTCTTTTTTCCCTTTCTTTCTTCTGAATATTTTCTTCAATTTCAAGATTAACTTCTTTCTTTGCGACGAGAAGAAATAGAGAAAGTGAAAACATTAAAAAGGAGCGACAAAAGAACCGTTGTAAGGAAAGAAAGAAGTTCTTTCCTCACAACACTTTTTTTTCGTTCCTTTTTAATATTTTTACTTTCTCTATTTCTTCTTCTTCCCAACTGTAGTCTCTTTTATGTTTCATTTATTCCTTTTCATTATTTATTCTATCTGCTTTTTCTTTCTCACTGTATCTTCTGTCTTTTCGTTCTTATCTCATCCCTATTTCTTATTTATCTTTTCTTTTTCTTTATCCTCAACGTGTTTTTTATCTTCTATTTCACCTTTCATTTTCCTTTTTCTTTCTATCTTTTTAACACTGCTACAATCTTTAATTCTGTCCCTCCTTCTGTATTATATCTTCTTTTCGTCTCTTTAACAATCCAATTTTTTTCATTCTCCGTTTTCTTAACTTTTTCTTCACTATCTGTTCTTTTCCAAATTTGAGCCTCTTTTTCTACTTTCAATATTTTTAATTTTATTTCCTTCTATTTTTTCTACTCTTCTTTCTATTTCCATTATTTTTCATCTCTTTTTTTTATGTCATTTTTTTTTCTTTTTTACCTTTCACACTTCTTTTTTTCCCTTGTATCTACTTCATTCTTTTTTAGTCTTTTTTTCTCCTTGTCACTCATTCTTTTCCCTTATTTTTATACTATTTCCTCTTTCTCTTTTCACTTTTTTTTCTTCCTCGTTTTCACATTCTACTACCACTATTATATTCTTCTCTTTTGCCTCGGTCTAATCCATGTCTTTTCTTCTTTTACTTTTCCTTCATTCTCTTCTTTGTCCTTTTCCTACTATCCTTTCTTTCTCTTTGTTCCCAATTCTGCAATAGCTTACCCTTATGTCTCTTTCTTTTACTTTCTTCGTTCTCTCTCTTTTTATCTTTTCCCTTATTTTTCCATTGTTTCTCTTTTTTTCTTATTCATACCCCGATCTCTGTCTTTCTCTTCCCGTCCTGGGTAAGACGATAATCAACATCCGCGTCCTGGGTAAGACAATAATCAACATCCGTGTCCTGGGTAAGATGATAAACTACATCAGCGTCCTGAGTAAGACGATAAGCTACATCCGTGTCCTGGGTAAGACGATAAACTACATCAGCCTCCTGGTTAAGACGATAAAGTACATCAGCGTCCTGGTTAAGACGTCCAACAGCAAGGCATCTAACCAGGAGTTTTTGAGGAGCGTGGAACAACCTCTTAATTTATGATTTTCCCATGTCCACCCTCACCCAGGGTGGTAGCACGCGTAAGGACCCCAGTAATAACCCCCAAACTCGGGGCAAAACACTACGAAAGCGTAAAAATAGATTTTAATACCAGCAATATTTTTTGTAAAAATTATTACTAGCAATGAATTTTTGAAAGAAAAAAAATATTGCCAGCAAAACATTATTACGAGCAATACATTTTTGAAGAAAAATATTACCAGCAATATATTTTAGGAAAATTATTACTAGCAATAATCTTGTCGACATTAAATTACCCATCGAGGTTGATATGCTGTAAAACAAACTAAAACAAACGAAAGCCGTCTGCTTTTCACTATATGCATTATTTCAGATTTCTGTCGATTTTTCAAACTCCCCTCTTCTTTTTACTCTCTTAAGTTTTTTCTTAATTTCCACCATTTTACCTTTCTTTCTGTTCTTTTATTTACGGATCTCCTCTTTTCATTTGCTTTTTTCCTTATTCCCTGATGTCCTTTCTTATTTCCCTTGTTACCTATTCCTCTTTTACTCCTTTTTATGTTACTTTTTTCTCTTTTATATTCTTTAATGTATCATTGTTCTTCCGTTCTTTTCTTCTCTTTGATTCTTTGTCGTTTGATTTCACTATTTCTTCATCCTCTTTGTTCACAAGTTGACAGTATTTTTCTTTTCTGTCTCTTTCTTACTTTTACTATTTGTGTTCACTTTCTTTTTCACTGTTCCAATTTTATCAGTTTTCTTTTGATTCTTTCTTTCTCATTTTGGCTCTTCTTTTTACCTTACTTATTTTCTCACTTCCTTCCCCCACCTGATTTTTTTCGAAATTTGTTTACTTTATTTCCATTGGTTCATTCTTCCTTTTTTTCTGACTTCTTCTCCCACTGCTACGTTGCATATTTTACTTCTTTTCTCTTTCATCTTTATTTACGTTTTCCTCTTTCTTTTACTTCTCTTACATTTACGTCGTTTTCTTTATCCTCTTTTTCAAAATATGTCTTCTTTCTTTTTTCATATTGAACTGTCTTTTTTTTATTCTTTGTACGTTTTCATGTTGCCTTCATTTTTTCTATTATCTCATCTTTTTCATTTTTTTTTTAGTTTTTCTATTTTTCCATGTTCTTTCTCTCTTTTTCTCTCCTCTTCACCCCTTCTTCGTCTTAGTCAATTCTTCATTTGCCCCTATTTATTTTTTATTTTTTCTTTCTTTGTCATTCCTTCTTTCATTCTCGCCTTTGTTCTTCGTTTTCATACTTCCCTTCTTTTTCGGGTCTTTTATATTTCTACTGTTTTTTTATTCCATTTTTTTACCTTTTTTCTCCTTAACACCTCTTTCGGTTTTATATGATTCTACGGTTCATTCATTGTTTCATTCTTTATTTCTTTCTTTTCCACACTAATTCTTTACCTTTTCTTCATTTTTTTCCCCACTATCACTTCTTTTTCTACTTCTTTATTATGTTTATCTTTCACCTACTCTCCTTCTTTCTTTTTCAATTATTCTTCTTTAATTCAGAGTTTCTCCCCCGTCTTTTCTTTTTCCACTTGTCTCTTTCTATTACCTTCTTTTTCCATGGTTAATTCCTGTTCTCTTTTCTTTTCATCTTTCACCCTTTTCCTTTTTCTTATCTTTTCTTCTGTCTCTTTTTCCAATTCGTCTTCTTTTCTCTTTGTTTTTCTATTGTTTTTCTTTCTTGCCCATTACTTCTCTTTCTGTTTTCTTCCTATTTCATTTTCTCTTCTATTTCAATCTTTCCATTTTTATCTTTTTTTCCCCTCTTTCACTTCATCTCTTTTATATCATTCTTATCTTAACTTTTTATCTCCCATCCTCTTCCACATCAGCTTATTTTTCTTTTACTTTTCTTATATCTTCTTTGTCTTTATCTTATTTACTTGATCTTTATTTTCAACATTTCTTCTTTCTTCTTCTTCTTCTTCTTCTTCTTCTTCTTCTTCTTCTTCTTCTTCTTCACTTACCACTTACTTAAATCTTTCTTCACCTTTTTCTTATCTTTTTCAGATCCATTTCTATATCCTTACTTTTATCTTTCTTCTCTTTCTTCACTTAATCATTCCTTCTTCGTTTCCCTTTTAATCTCTTTTCCTCATCTTTTACATTAATCCCCCCCGTCTTCTTTCCTTCTTATTCTTTTCTCTGCATACCCGATTTTCTCGAGTCAGCTTCGACGATCGCCATTGTTTGCTAATAATTCTCCGGATCAACTGGCTGGCTTCAACCGTGTTTGTCCTTCTGAATGGGTTCCAGAATCCGTGCTGCTCTGCTTGGCTCCAACATTCAATCTGTAACCTTAGATTGATGAAAAAGGGGGTCACATTGGCAAACATAGTTCTTCCAAATCCTCTCTCTCTCTATTTATCTACGTCAGATCATAGATAGATAGATAGATAGATCGATAGATAGATAGATAGAGAGAGAGAGAGAGTTGTGAAGGCAGGAAGCCAACCAAATGTGTTGGGTGCGATAACTGAATGTTTTACTCTAGAAAAGAGGGTCAATGTTCGAACCCACTAAATATACAGAAATAATTTTTTCATGATAAGAAAACTGGTTGGGAAAATAAATAAGCCATGGAAGCATTTAGAAAACAATTTCAAAAGAACGACAACTCTTCAACTTTACTCTCTAATAAAGATTATAATTAAAAAGATTCACGGACAGCATTTTTCTTCATTCATCTTGTAAGCCTAAAATTCTTAAAATGATTACATAACTGGTCCATATATTTTTCATGGATTATACTTGTTATTTTGAAATTGTGTTTCTGTTTTTAATCGGTATCACCCCTTTCAAGGCAGTAAAGCCACCAAGACTCAATATGTTACAGGATGTGGAAGTATTAGGAACAGAAACATTAATAATGATCGGGAAGAGGAAAGAGTAATCAAGAGGACAGGAGACAGCGATTAACATTGCATTCAAATTTCTGCAGATTAAAGTTTGCTGAAAAGCATGGAGCCGGAAGTGAGTTCCACAAGCGAGAAGAGCGAGAAAAGAAACCGTTGGCGCAGAATTTACAATCTACCGGCTCAACTGGTAAACTGATGAGATCTCGACGCCAGTCTAGTATTGCACTTAAATTCAAAAAAATTTAAAAGTCTAGTTACCATAACGAAGAGCGATATTTCCTTCCGCTTCAATACAGAAAATGTAGCATAAGGTCAGAAATGGGGAAAAGAACGGTCTTCTTCTGTGTTAACTTTAAACTTAGCTAGCCACAAACACTGACCCAAACATACAACAATATTCCTTACACCAAAACACATTCTTATTTACCTTTCCTACAACATCCACCATAATACCACATTGTCTCTATGAAAATCCTAACTAGTCCCCATATTTACAATTCATTGTCTGTGGGGGAAGGGGAATAAAACAACAATTTAAAAATGAACCCCAATGAGTATTTACCATAACGAAGAGCTCGTCCGAACAATTACCATGAAAGGAATTATAAAAAAACAACAGGGACCATGGCAATGGGAAAGGAAAGCCAAGGACCAAAAAAGATTCGTCACAAGGGACACAACTATTATGGCAAATAAGAATGGACAAATGGTAGATTGAAGATATCCAGGTCAGGATCAAAAGAATGTTTAATTTCATTCATGTTTAAAACTGTAACTAATGTGTTTATCTTTTGAGAAGTGCCAGAAAACCAGTAAAAGGTATTTTAAACCGATCCTAGACTGGCAAGGAAAAGCGAGGGCGATTCTGTGCAAGTATTTATTTTTTAATTTTAATATAAAGCTTAAAATATTAGGTTTCTAAGAATGGATAAAAATGGAAAAATTTACACCGATTTCAGGATATTTTCTAAAACAAAATGAATAGACAGGAAATGTTAAATATTCAAACAGAAAGTTTAAATTTAATTCATTACAGCAAATGAATGTTTAAAAACTGTTAAATCATAACTCTATCGTCCGACCAACAGTCTTTTTTTATATCCTTCCGAGATGTAACCAAGTCTTCTCTTCTTTAATTATTGGAAAAATTTGTTGAAAGTACTATTCATCTCTCTTCTTTTCTTTCCTCTTTTCTTCTCTTTTACTCCTTCTTTTTCGTCTTCTTTGCATTTTAATCTATTTTCTGAAAAACCGCAAAACTGAACGGTGATCCAATAACTTGAAAAATAAAAATTCTACTTTTTATAACTAACATTTTCAAAATAGAGGTGATACGCTCTTGAAAGTAGGCCATTGTACATGATTCAAAATGAATTTTTTTGTTTGTTTTTAAAAAAACTTTACCGTAGGAGAAAAATAATGATTTATCCATTTAGTTCCTATATTTTTATTACATATTTTTTATTTTAATTCGTCGTGGTGAAATCTGGTTCGATCCTCACTGGGTGTCTCATACTTTCGGCTGTCTGCCATATCTAATCTAACAATCGATCAGAGTATTTCTGGAAGATAACGCTTTTTAAGGTAAGGGTTTTTTCAAATTATATCCTGTATTATAGAATTAACAATATCAAATAATATGAAAGTCTCAACTTATGACTCACTGACAAGAGTTTCCCGGAAATACTTTCATGTGTTAGTGGACTAGATAATAAAATTGAATTTATTTACAGGAATAATTATTTTTAAATTTTAATGTACAAAACTATTTTAAAGAATATAGCGAATTGTAAAACATAAAATTATTGATTTGTACGATACTAAATATTATTTTACATATAAAAAGATATCCAATAAGTACATGATAGTCCTATTTACAGTAACTTATTTCACGATGTGATATTTGAGGATAAAAACTGAAGGTTATCTAACATAAAAAAATAAGTATTTCTATTATTTTAAAAGTTAATTTTAGTGGTTACTCATTTATTAAACAGTAGATACCGACACAGAATCGCTAAAAAAATCAGTATATCGTGAGATAAACGTTCTCCAAACGTAATGAAAACTTTATAAATATATGTTATTATTAAGAGGAGGGCTCAAAATATTTTATTAATATTTACTTAAATTACTCACTTTTAGAACATTTGACATTTTGATTAAGAAACTTGTTTTTCTTACGTCGGCGGTTGTACTAACTTTTAGCATAAAAAATTTTCGCCTCTTTTTTGCGGTAAACAGACATATTAATTTGAAAATTCGTGCAAAAATCAAATAATTGTCGGATTTTAATGACATTTCCAGGGCTTCTTGAGAAATAAGGGAAATTATTTTTGAAATTTATTTATTAGAAAATTTGGTAAAAATATTTTTTACATCTGTTTTATCTCCTTACTTAATTTTATGAATACTGGAGAAATTTAACGATGATTTTAGTGATATTAGTTAAAAGTAGAATTCTTTGAAGAATTTAAATTACCAAAATTCTTTTGCAAAATCGGATCCTGTCTTACCGAAAATCTGTTTTAAATCGAAGAATAAAAAAAAACCGCAATAAATTATGACACTATTTAATTAGAAAATTTTTCATTGCTTTTATGAATAATATATCTTAATGTCCGAAGAAAAAGAATTTTCGATGAAAAATGTATTTTTACAAGATTTGTTTTCTTCTTTTATAATTTTAATTTGAATAATTTATAAAGTTTTAAATTTTTAAAGTTAAGTTTCATTGTGAATTACGAAATATTGTTATTAAGTAAAGCTTATTAGATACAATCAGTTGACCCCGAATATTTTTAAAAGAATTGCGATTTGTTTTTGTATGTGTATATAAGTGAACAATGTCGGAAGTATGGATGTACGAGCCGATAAATTTAATGTTAAGAGGTCTCGGCTTATAAGGGTTGTCCCTCTTATAATCTTTATCGTCTGCTCCTACATATGTAACTGTGAACACGTTCGGCGATCAATCGGCTGTCAATAAATCAATTTACACGTCAGGAAAACAAGACATCGTCGTTAAGAATTGCTGGTATATAACATAATAAGTAATATTTATTTCAAATCAGATTAATTTAAATTTAAATAACGTTTCGGAAATATATACTCTCTTTGTAAAACGTTTTAAATCTGATAATTAACTTTTGTTTACAAATCTTTCAAAATGGCCGATTGTTCTCAATTTTTTGTAAAATATCGATTCCAGTTAATGTAATTTCTGTTTGAAATACACTACAGAATATGTTGATAACTGAAAATAGTAAAGTATTCTTCAATTGAAATCATTCTGGTTCAACATGTTTCAAAAGGTATTTGTTTTTAAGCGTATATGTGATTATTACTTAATTTCTCTTGTTTAATCAATTAGGGTTATTTAATTTTTTTTAAATAGTTCATTTTTCTGCATGGCATGGATTACATCTTTCGCCTTTACCATTGTAATATTTGCTTCTTGCTATTATACCCCACGTAAATATGTGTTATGGTCCGGTTCCTTGTACCACGGTGATAGTCCAAGGTAAAACCAATAAAGAAGAACTCGAATACTGATATGGAATAACACAGATATATTACAAACAAGAATATATACAGAGAAGTAGAAAGTGTTAGTACGAACAATCAGGTTTAGTAGTAATTGTCTGAACGCGTCTCTGTTTGGGACTGCCTCTGACTTGACTGACTGACTCACTCGCTCTGACTGACTGACAGACTCCTGACGGACCTCACTCCAGACTTCAGACTAAACAGTATTCGTCGAAGGCAGAGAGTTCAACCGATCAGCCTCTCAGCCAGTCGTCCGACTTCAGACTGAACAGTATTTAGTCACGCCACCACGAGGGCATCATGTGACACAAGGCCAGTTTAAGGTGAGATCTCCGAGCCCGTGGGCTCAGCCCAAAATATGCCCTTTGAACCCGTATAAACGGGTTCAGGGTCGGTTTACCTCCCCGAAAGAGACTCCGCCCTTCGGCGTAACCTCGTTCGGGTTCCTCCCCGCCCGAAAGCAGAGGGTTTAACCGATCAGCCGGTCGCCCGACTTCAGACTGAACGGTATTTAGTCTCCCTCCTCACGAGGGCATCATGTGGCACAAGGCGGGTTTAACGTTGGATCTTTGAGCCCGTGGGCTCGGCCAAGAATATGCCATTTGAACCCGTATAAACGGGTTCAGGGTCGGTTTACTTTGAGCCCGTATAAACGGGTTCAGGGTCGGTTCCTCCCCGCCCGAAGGCAGAGAGTTCAACCGATC